CAGCGATGCTGTCAAGACATCCACCCTGACGCAGGCGCACGAGGAGATCAGTCGACTGAAAGCAACGGTCAAGGAGCTGGAGAGCGAGCTGCGGTCGGAGCGAGAGAAGACACCAGCGCCACAAGGGCTAGTCACGCCCACGAGCAGCGATGGCCCGTCGCCCTCTCAACCTGCCGTCCCAGCCCCGAGTAAACCCAACTGGCAGGGTGTCGTCAAGCAGTGTGCGAGCCGCTCACCGAACGAGTCTTGGTTTGGACCCTCGTCCATCTACTACTTCGTCAAACGCCTCGACAAGTCCCTGAGCACCACCTTACGCCAACCCCAACCGACGGAACAACTCCAGCTATGCTCGGAGAGCTCCATCAACCTCCTCGAAGGCCATGCCGGCCCCGCAGAAGCCGCTGTCGCCGTCGGCTCCGGAGGCGCTCCCCCGTCCTACCTCACGCCAATGCAGGAACAATACTTCATCGACCTGTTCTGGGACTCATTCCACACCTGCGTCTTGCCTATCCTCGATGAGGCCGACTTCAAACAACACCATCAGTCCCTATGGACCACGGCCTCGACCCGCCGGCCTTCGGCCCTCGTTGATATTGTCGTCGCCATGTGCATGCAGCTTGGCATCTCTACCATGCCCGCCGGCGACCAGGGCCGCTTCTCGCCCCTCGACAACGCGGACCCGACGATCGCTGGTCGCATGCACTATCGCCGGTGCCAGGCCCTGCTGGCCCACCAGACGGAAAGCCCATCCATCGCGACGCTGCAGTGCCACCTGCTCTGCGCCCTCTACCTCTGCTCCGGCTCCTTCCATAACATGGTCGATGCCGCCTGCGCCCAGGCTGTGCGCACCGCCTACATCCTCGGCCTGCATATGGACGCGCCGCCCGATATGCCACGCAAGGAGGTTGAACGCCGCCGCCGTCTCTGGTGGGCCGTCTATCTCATGGAGACCAAGATCGGGACAAAGCTTGGCCGTCCTTTTTCATTGCGCGACTCGCATGCCATGCCGGAGCTGCCGGCCGACGACTTCGAGGCTGCCATGCTCTCAGGCTCATGTTTCGCGCCTATCGGCGACGGCGTCACCTGGCTCAGCTTCAACCGCCACCACGTCAGCCTCCATGCCACCATCCGCCGCGCATACACAGCGTTCTACGACAAAGATCCGGGTGGAAAGGACATGTGGGACGACGCTGAAACTCTCGAGAGCTACGCCCAACTGTTACAGCCACACAACAAAGCCCTTGACGCCTGGGTCTCTCAGGTGCCCGAGGCTCTCACCACTCGCCGGATCGACGGTGGCGTTTCGCTGTCCACACACCCATCTCGCCTAGATATTGAGCAGTTTGCGCCCCTGTGGCTGCAGCGCCAACGTCTCCTCCTTGAGATTGCCTACCACAACGTTTCCGTCCTTCTCTACCGGCCCTTCATCTCCTTCTCCGCCACGCCAGGCCCGCTAGCCACAGAGATGGCATCAAGATGCGCCTCACACGCAATCGCTCTCACTCGTATTGCGCATCAAGTCCTTTCTACCATGTCGATCCTTGACGGCTGGCACGAGGTCTTCCACTGGCAGTGGGGTGTCTCCATGACTCTCGTGGGCTTTCTCATAGCTTACCCAAGCTGGGAGCAGAGGGACGCTGCGAGGGAGGCCATTGACCTTGCCGTCGGCGTTTTTGACAAATTTAGCAAGAGGTTCTCTGTAGCAAGGAGCGCTGCGAGCATCATGAGAGACCTTTGCGTCAAGGTGGATCTGCTCAAGGAGAGGACGCAGATGCCTTCTCTGGACTTGTCTATGATAGACATGTCCATGCCCGAGGGTGCATGGGATGGCCAGAACCTGTTCGACATCACCTTGAACGTTGACTTTTGGGATGGCCTGGACACGCTGTGGCCGGGGTCTCATGAGTACTCGGATCCGTCTTATTTTGGGCACATGCAGTACTAGCATGGGCTGGGCGGGGAGCCGGCGTTCAGGGGAATTTGCGGCGATATTCTTGTCCTTGTGCTTCGGATGCGGTGCATTTTCTATACATCTGCCTGGCCTCATCTGAAGCAACAGCGAGTATCATGTCAATGTGTCTGAATGCAACACTCGTCCTCTAGATCGACTTTGACGTACATCCAGGCATGTGTCTACATCATCAATTACAAGCCGACTCCCACAAGAAAACCTAGCAATGTACCATGGACCAGCAGTATCAAACAATATTTCCGGCCCTCCAGATCCTTGGATCAAGCAACGAACTTCCCTGTTGCAACGTCAAAAACTTCATTACCCGACCGTGACTGTATGTGGCCATACTGCATGCCTCAATCCACCGGGTGCCAGTTGTCCAGGAAGGCCCTCGCACATGCCGCCGCAGTGGCCGCGGCATACCGCTGCCACATCTTGGATTTGTGACTGTCGGCATAGTCCGCAGCCCCCTTGATCACCACACTGGGGAACAAGACATCCCACATCCCTGCCCCCTCCATCTCGAAAGCGATGACTCCCTCGCGTTTCGCGATTGCATCGCGATGCATGGCCGATTTCATGACGGTGTCTCCAGATGCGATGAGGCCGAAGTGAACAGATGGAATTGGCGATGTCTCGCGGTAGAGAGTGCGGGAGAAAACAGTCGGGCCGTTGCAGCCACACTCCTCGCACGTCATGTTTGGGCTTCGATGATTGTAGGTTGGTTGGAAGAGGCGGTCTTGCTGGGCGCCGGGATATGCAGCCCGCAGGTGCGGCATCTTTTGTAGACCTTTGAGGTAAGCGGAGGTTCCGCTAAGGAGAGCTTTGTGGCCGCCTTCGCTCTGAAGCCGGGCAAGAGTGGCGCGGACGTCCATGTCTGGGGCCTTTGCCTTTTGTTGCGAATGTCCCTGAAGCTGCCGGTCCAGGTCATACTGGACGATGCCCTCGCTGATCATGACGTCGCCAAGAATGACCTCGTCACGAGCGACAGATGCTGGGACGGCGCCGCAGATACCAACAACCAGTACGAGTTTGATGTTGGGAAAGCTCAACCGAAGATTTGCGGCCGAGGATGCAGCGTACGCTTTTCCCTTGCCGGGCATATGTACGAGGACAACATTGTGGTGCCCGATGCGACCTGAGGTATAGATGTTTTGGTCGCCCGGAGCCTTGCCAATGACCTGGCCTCTGTCGTCCCAGAAGCGATCGAACACGGCCAAAACGGCTTCCGCCTCCAGCGGTAGAGCACAGATGATCCCGATCTGAAAAGCGCGGCGGCCCGGGAACTGGCAGATAGTCATGGCGAACTTGGACAACCGCGAAAGTGCGGAACTGAGCCTCACACAGGTGTATGGGGTTGGCGAGAATAGTAGTGTGGTGATATAAGCTTATGAAGATGAGCGATGTGCGATTGCAACAAGTAAGTATGGACGATCTCTCAACGGCTGCGGGAGTTTATGAATGCCCTAAAATCTTGAAAATAGAGAAGCGCCAGGAATACAGCGCCCAAATTTAGATGTGATAACCGCTGGCGGTCGGGGTCGCAGGCAGTTGGCCTTGTCTGAAACAAGACCCTGGACTTGCATGTCAGTTGGCCGGCTACGTGCTGCTGCTGTTTATTTGCAGCGGTGCATTGGTCTGCCTGAAGTGACGAGCCAAGCAGAGTGCTACTACGTTTTCCAGGAATCCAATCCGGGTCCAAACGAAGATTACCGACAGTCAAGGACAAGGCTCCGGAATTTCATTTACTCATCGGGCACCAAGTAGGCATCAATGGCAGGTACACGGAGTGATGTCCGACAACAATGAAGGGACACAGGCCCGGCCGGGAAGGGTTTCAGGGGCCAACATCGACTGGTCCAGTGGCCCTGACCCCCATCACGACTCGGACAGGGGGCATCAGTTTAGCCGCAGGCGCTGTAACCACCAACTTAAATGCCATCTGAGGGGAAAATCCCTACTTAAGGACTGACCTGCCGCTACCCTATAGCGGATCCGCACTTTTGGTGTAGTGGTAGTCCCAACACCATCCGAGTCGGCAGCGGCTATTCAATCCAATGAACTGTATTCCTCCGCTGTCTAAAGGGTATCCGCAAGTCACTCTGGTCGCAAACATCGCCGCTCGAGTCACCGCTCCCCCTAAGTCCCACCGCAATGCACGCGGCAATGGCGAGGGCGACCCCAACACTAAGCCTGGCGGAAGCACCCGAAGCGCCCGCGCTGAGATGTGGATAGCCGACAATTTCAAACTTGTCCGTCTCTATGGACATGGCGCTTTCGATGAAAGTGAAGTTGGGCGAGGAGTAGAAATTGGCCGAGAAGAAGTTGCGCTTTCCGTCAAAGAGCTGCTGATCGACATCCTCCATGTACTCAAACCACTCTGGGGCGTCCCAGACGTGGCTGGTGATATTGCCGCGCCAGTCAATGGCGTCGGAGATGGGCCAGACGCCTGTGCTGTGAAAGTGGAGCTTGAGCCAGCGCATGCTGGAGTGAGGAACCTGCAGGTTCTCGTCGGGCGACCACTCGAAGACGACGGGCTCGGAGTAATTGAATGGTTTGCTCGTGTCAGGACGGAGGAATTGGAAGGTGCAGGCGGTGGGCACGAGAGCCGAGAGGAGGAAGAGGGCGTTGAAGTGCATGATGTGGTGTATCGGATGGGTTGTGTTCAACTTGAAGCTTGGAGAAACGATGTGAGGATGTTGATCTGACAGGATAGCCCGAGGGAAACCCCTTTCTCTTTATGCACACACGTCGCGATGATCCAAACCCAGACCCTGTGCAGTCGATGGGTGTCAGCCTTGCCGGCCACGCCGCTGCAGGACTGTCGCCCGGGGCGCAGCAATCTCACCGCACAATCGCTTCCAGGCTGATGCCAAACCCCATCACGCGATCTGCATAGCCAACTGGAAGCTTAAATAGTCTTCTGTGACCTCTCAGCCAGTGAGCCGGACAGGGGCATATCAGCCTGAACCGCCTGGAACCAGCCCGTCCGAGCAACTTGTCTTGATACATTATGCTAGCATCCGCCGTTTTTCCCTGTCGATCTGTTCTGATAGCTCAGGGGTAGAGCAATCGGCTGCAGTCCGATAGGTCGGGCGTTCAAATCGCCCTCAGAACTTACCTTTTGCCCTATCCACATCTCCCGAGATGTGGCTTTGCTTTTTGCCGCAGGGAGAACACCAGGAGGACAAGTGTCATTCCACGACATCTTCCTCATAACAACCCCTTCGATCGTTCTGATAGCTCAGGGGTAGAGCAATCGGCTGCAGTCCGATAGGTCGGGCGTTCAAATCGCCCTCAGAACTCGTTTACCTTTTGTCTCCATCACCAACTTTTTGACTGTCCCTCGGCAGTCAAGCAGCATCGGCTCGGTTTTCTACCGACAACGGCCAACCTCCGAGGCTGTTGTCGGTATCACTATTGACTTTCCTCCCTCGCCAGAGAGATACTTTGGTGCCAGCCACTTGCTCTCTTCCCTCGGCGTATCAAAGGAATAAGGGTCCTCATCGTGCTGGAGATCGGTCCTCATCTTGCGCAAGGTTTACCCCGCCAATTGGCGCCGCAGTCGCCCGATGGAAATCCCCGACAAAGATCAGGCCAGTGGGGGCCGATCGTGCCGCACGGGAGTGGCTTCGGACGAGATGTTGTCATTTCCAGTGGCCACTCAGGCGTTCTTCCATCGCTGCTGCCCTCAATTTGGTGGTCGAGGGATTGCGTGCCAATGGTGTCTTCGGTCTCAAGACTGTTCCCCGGGAAACCTTTTCAGTGCACCCATCGCGGTATCCCTGCGGATGCAAACAACCCTCAACTGAAGGGTGAGCCACGCCATCACACCTTGCGCTTGAAGGCAGCCCTGCCACACCAGCACTTAGACCCGAATCCTTTCCAAGCGACACATTTTCATCTCCATATTGTTCTACAAGGTGGGCGGCAAGCTTGCCTCACCGAGCAGATTCAGAAACACGAAGCATGCAATGTGGCAGTTGATGGATATGCGGCCGACCACAGTCGCATCAGTCACTCATCGTTCGGCTTCTCGGCCGTCCTGATTCAAAAGAACTCACCATCAGGCAGCACTTCCATCGTCCGACTGGACACCGCATGACCTCACCCGGCGAGAATGGCCCCTCGAATGGAACGTCGCAGCACACGATGCTAATTATGGCCCCACGCTACTGGAATACGAGCGGGTTTCCCGTGGCCAGATCGCTCAGCTGACGGCCCCGTTCGACTTCGCCGGAGGCAAAGAAAACCTGGGGAACCGGCCGAGAAGGCGGGCGGGAGGAGCGATTGGGCAGGCGTTCGAGTGGACACCTTCTTCGAAGCGGCTAGATCCGGGCTGTAGCGTCGCAACGCTGTCGGGGTCTCGTTCTCAACTGCAGATGGAGACCAGCAACACGAGCTCTCGTGCATCAACGTCGCTTCGGGTACGGGACTGCGGCAACTACGACTTGACCGACTTGTCTATGGAGGCGAACTCAGCAAGGTGAGGAGGGATAAAAGGGCCAGTCTTTCGGTCTTTCTTTCGTGCTCTTCATCAGCTTCAGTCCTCACTCATCTCACATATCCTTACTTGCACCCTCGACTCACTCCCCACATCCACCCAGCCACCGCAAACATGCAGATCTCCAACCTTCTCACTATCTTCACCGCCGTCACTGTTGCGTCGGCCGCCACCGTCTCCTACGACACTGGCTACGACAATGGCTCTCGCTCCCTGACGGCCGTCAGCTGCTCCGACGGTGCCAACGGCCTCATCACGAGGTACGGCTGGCAGACCCAGAAGCAGGTCAAGAAGTTCCCCTACATCGGAGGCGTCCAGGCTGTTGCCGGCTGGAACAGCCCCTCGGTAAGTCGGCTCCCTGGTTGTGCCTTGCTTTTCTGGGCCTAACGAACAGCAGTGCGGCACGTGCTGGGAGCTCAGCTACAAGGGTCGCACCGTCAACATCCTCGCCATCGATCACGCTGCCAGCGGCTTCAACATCGCCCTCGACGCGATGAACGCCCTTACTGGTGGTCAGGCCGTCAAGCTCGGTCGCATTGATGCCACCAGCAAGCAGGTCGACAAGAGCAAGTGCGGACTGTAAGCGCAGTAAGACTTTGACGGAGGTGTGCGTCTATACGAGACGACGGTAATGATGGGTGTCATTCCGCATATGACAGCGACGATTGCAAATTCTTGGGCATGCATTAGCGTTTGGATTTAAGGTCGTGCCATAGAACAGGGGTGAATTGACAGATTGGGCACTACAGATCGTCCCGTATGAGCCACTGCCTGATGGTGCTGTACCTCATCCTTGAGAATTCGCGGTGTGTTCTCACTGAAGATCTGGCATAAATACTTACACCGTCAAAGGTCCATATATACACATTGGATAGGCATGTGAAAACACTGAGGAATCATCCAGGGGAAGATATTGATCCTCATCTTCCCTGTTGCTGCGGCTGGCTGGACTCCCTCAGTCTGCCTGCCCCAATGCCTCTGACACGCGGCACCGTCTGATGAGGCAAACAATCAGGCTACACAATATGAAAGGATTGCATGATGGAAGGAAGATCCTTCGGAAGGCATTGGGGCTCTTTAGGAGATATGATAGTGAATCAGAAACAGCAGGTGATGGAACAGCAAGAAACGATTGGACACTGCCAGAGGGGGCGGGAGGGACAGGGCGACCCGCAGTGATCTTTCGCCGTCGAGTCATAGCTTGTGTCTCGCACAAAGTTGATATGGTGCATACACACGAAAATGCAGATCTTGAAAATATGACCGTTGGATCACCGCCCAGCACGGGTAGGTATTCCTTCGCCAGGTTATCAGCATCGAGGCAATGTCCTTTGTGCCTCAGAATGCGCCCATCGTGATACCTCACTCGTCCAACCAAAGCAGTTTGAGATAGATTCGACACCGCCAAGGAGACACAACACCACCCAGCCACACCAGAGACCTCGATAGTCAGCCTGAGCTTACGTCACTTTGGGTTGGAAGGATCCGCGTACCAGCTGGTCTTTAAACTTCACGGCCAGCAAACAGGTCTCGCCAGCAAACGTCCAACAGCCAAATCAGAGTGATAATGCAAGTCTATAAGAAGGGGCGATGGGATCGTGAATGAAGACCATTCGATCACTCCATCCATCAACCACACCAATCTCTGTTGCTCACTACCTAGGTATTCCCTACCTTGAGGTCCAAGAAGTCATCATGCATCTCTTTAACCTCTTCGTTCTCCTCTTTGCAGCCATGGTGACCGCGTCGCAGTCTGTCCCCAGGTCCAGCAGCGACCTCGAGCTTGAAGAGCCTATCAAACCTGGACGCGATCTCTCCAAGCCCAACAGCCTCGATGAAGGCATTGAAGAGTCCACCGAGCCGTCGCTCACCCCAAGCATTTCCAAGCGCTCATGCTACGCTGGCGGTGTGGGCTGGGGATCCGACAAGGACCGCGCTCTCGAACTCGTCGATGATGCCTGCCGGGACGTCTTCGTCAGCAGCTACGGTGGCAAGACCAAGAAGAACAAGTGCTACCAGTTGTCTGCCTTCAAAAAAGTGAACTTCACTATCCGTCGCTGGCACGACTCTACCCGCAACCTCGACTTTGCATTCTGCAAGACCAACCTCCGACTTGAGATCAAAGGATGCGGCGCTGGAGGTCAAAGCTATCGTGGAAACTGGAGGTTCAGGTACGTTTGTCTTCTCCACGATGAATCGACCTGCTGAACTGATACTCTCACTCTAGGTCGGATCCCAACGCCAGACGGTGCTAATTAGGCGCAAGTTTTGTGCCCACGTATCTACCCACATGTACCTACCTGGTAGTCAGGAGAGGGGGCTAGAGGGCGTGCGTCCTGACAAAAGTCGGATACATCCCAGACGCCGGGAACAAGGACCTGTTTCTGGTGAAAACACTTGTGGGCGGTGATGTCAATGGCGGCAAGGGTGAAGGTGAAAGTGACGGAGGCGAAAGGAATCGTAAGGATGGTGCGGTGTGGCTGACACTCTCGCTACTCCTAGGGCTCCATAGACGCTTCTTCCGTTGCTCCTCGAGTGCGATGTCATTTCCAACCTACACTGCTTCATCTTGTCAGGGCGAGCAGAAGAATTTGGGAGCAAAGCTTTTTGACGTATCGAATCCAGGAGTTGGAAAGTAGTGAGTTGAGCAAAAACTAAATCCGTGGATCATGCTTGATTCGAGGGAGGCTCGATCTCCCGACCTTCAGTGGAACCGTCCGAGGACATGTTAGACTGACGTGATAACCAACTACACCATCAAACCAATTGTTGACGGTGAAGCAGAATAGAGAGCTTGTTGTAGTGAGAGGCCGTGGGAAGAGGCGAGACCAGAGCACCTTTCAAAGATGGTGTTTGGAAACTTGCGATTTTCAGGGCACCACAGCGAGGATCACCCATTCATGTGTCTCAAATTCTACAACAAACCTCAAGAAGCTCGTGCTCAACTACCCGCCTCCACAGCCACATCCAGAACTTCTCAAGTCCATCACCGGAAATACGGCACGATAAGGCTGGGCACGAACAAGCGTGTGGATTCGTCGTGAACCTCGCTTCTGAGCCCCCCTGACTTATGCCCGGAATAATCCTTGTTCGTCGGCCCACCTCGAACATCCTCCCGTGATCAATACCCTTGACGATATGCAGGCTTGGCCAATCATCAAGCCCAAAAGACCAGGGTTAGAGGAACTTATGTCACTCGCCTCATCGGCCGGGCGAAGGACATGTTCCAGGCGAGCGGATGACAGCTCAAATGGAGCAAGCACCCGGAATGAGCAGCGAAGGAAGCGGCACAGCACAAAGTCGCGTTGCCCTTATAACCCAGTTCCCCCCCTTGGCGAAAGGCACCTACGTGCCAAGTTTTGACAAGAACTATGATGGACGACACCCCCGAGGACCGATGACTTCGCGTTTTTTTCCTCTCGCAACTCGAAGGCAAAGACGTCTTGTCATCTGGGCCTCTGCGCTGGCTATTTTCCTCGGCACCGTCTGGCTGATTATTCGCGGCTACATCCCCCCTGCCTTGAATGGACTGAGCACTGGGTTAGTTGCCATCGGTGCGCAACTCACAGCTCGAGCGCAACTGACAGCAGCCGCAGCTTGTACACTGCGTACGACGCACCATTTCCCGAAGCGAGAGATTTTTCCGAGTTTGTCGCATCTCTCTGGAGACCACACATCCACAGCCTCGAGAACGATACCCTCGTCACCCAAGATGGGCGCGAGTACTATGTTGACCCGACCCGGCGCATCTGGGACAAGCCCCTCGGCAAGGACGTCCTGATTCTCAACATCGACACACGATATGACGATTCTTCCGAAGAGGAGCATCTCAACCCGAGGAGGGCGGGTTGGTTGAATCACTACATCTACTGTTCGACATACCAACCGACCTTTCTTGATGTTACCGCTGACAGTGGTGGGAGCAGCCAAAATCCACGGATACGACTACAAATTTATGCATGCGCCTAGGTTTTGGTGAGTTTTCTGACAGTCTTCGAGATTTACGTCTGCTTCATTGCCTCAGGGACAAGTTCTTGAAGTGGTCAGAATATTAGACGGCTAACTTTGTGTGCCACAGGTTCCGACATGTCACTTGGATCAAGGTTCCGATGATCAGACGAGCCCTTGAAGACTACCGATTCGTCGTGTTTCTCGACGCAGATGCTGTCTTTGTCGAGCCTCAAGTCCCTATCGAATGGCTCTTCGGCCGATGGAACATCCACGACGGTACCCTCCTAGCCATGGCCGAAGACCCGAACCTTCCCCGCAACCGTGACTCCCGAGGCAACGTCCTGTGGAATACGGGTTTCGTCATCGCGCAGAATAGCAAGCGCACGAAAGAGCTCTTCTGGGATTGGGAGCAGTGCCCGACAGACTCGAAATTTCCTGGGTGTAAGCATTGGACACAAGACTGGGCGCATGAGCAGGCCGCATTTGGGAACCACGTTCGATACGCTTACAACGACACGGACGAGCTGCGCGCCATCTCATGCATGGAAGGCAACGGATCCCCTCATATCAACGAGAAGGACTGCGGCGGCGTCTTTGTGGCACATCACTGGTCGAGGAAGAGGCAGACTGTTGGCGACTTGGGCAACCTGATAAGCCGAGGGTTGGCGCTGAGTCCAAATGGACGGGCCGCGGCTGATGAGTTCGTGCGACAAAAGGGCGGGAAGCTCAGCCCAGAGCTGTCCGAGATATTGCTAAGCAATGCAGAGATCTGAGTCTCTGAACCTGAGACTTTCCACGGATTTCTGCTGGACTGACAACTGCAGGAATGCGAAGCATGATGTGTGAGGCTTTCACTTCAACAGCGGTTTTCCGCCTCCAAGAGCTGTCATCGGGGGCGGTTTTGCCGTCGCATGATCTCCCAGTCAACTTTGAAAATCCAATCTACTGCGCGTCTGGAGGCCAGCCGTGGCTTATACCGAGATGAGACACGCACATGGAGGGTTCGAGCTGAACCTAGATCACCACCGCATCCGCCAAGCCCGGACCGGCGGCGCCACGTGCGATGCCGCAACCGGCTCCGAGCCAAGGACCCCCGCCGGTTCTCGCCCGACTCGGAGTACCCCCGGCCCACACGACACATCGTACCCGCTGTCACCGACTCATAACCCTGGGCAAGCGCCCATCACGCAAACTTTAGCTGCCGTCAGAACCGGGTCCGGCTGGCTGGATCGATGGCGTTATCGTGCCGATTGCCCGAAAATTTTGACCCCTCGTGTAATAAGAAGGGACCCGTCCGTCTTCGCGACGCGTGGGTGACATTGCAGCGGCGCGGCCACTCCGACTCTCTCCCTCCTCCCCTTCCGACAGACCTCACCGTCGCCCTGACCCGACGCCATGGCCAAGGACGACATCACGAGCGCCGCCGCCGACATCGAGGCCTCGGCGGCCGAATACTCGAAGCGCGATGGACCCGGATACGACCACGATGGCGACCTGCTCACGTCGACCGAGGATCGCGACCTGCGTCGCGGACTTCAGCAGCGTCACCTGTCGATGCTGGGTCTCGCTGGAGCCATTGGCACAGGTCTCTTCCTTGGACTGGGAGGCTCGATCCAGACCGGTGGACCTCTCGGCGCCCTGCTCGGCTATGCCACCGTCGGCTTCGTCGTATGTGCCGTTCAGTTCGCGCTCGGAGAGGTCGCCGCCCTGCTTCCCGTGACAGGTGCCTTCGTTCGTCACTCGGAGTTCCTCGTCGACCCGGCCTGGGGTTTTGCCATTGGATGGAACCTCGTCTACGGCAACCTCTTGTCCATCCCCGCCGAGATCTCCGCCATCTGCGTCCTTTTCGAGTTCTGGACCGACGTCACCCCAGCCGTCTGGATCGTAATCTTCATCGTTCTCACCACGGCTGTTGGCCTCTCTCTCATCCGAATCTTCGGTGAGGTCGAGTTCTCCTTCGCCCTGCTCAAGATTGCTCTCGTCATCTTCCTCATCATCCTTGGTCTGGTCATCAACCTGGGCGGCGTGCCCGGCACCGAGAGCATTGGATTCCGTTACTGGAACAACCCGGGCCCCTTCGTCGAGCACATCACCACCGGCAACCTGGGCAAGTTCCTCGGGTATTGGAGCGTCATGACCAACGCCGTCTTCTCCTTCGCCGGCGTCGAGTCCCTCGCCATGGCCGCGGCCGAGTCGGTCAACCCGCGCAGGAGCATCCCCCGCGCGTGCAAGCGTGTCTTCTTCCGCATCGTCGTCTTCTACGTCCTGGCGGTGCTGGTCGTGGGTATGCTGGTGCCTTCCAACGACACTCGTCTCGATGAAGCCTACGGCACAGCCGCTCAGTCGCCTTTCGTCATTGCCGCCTCGGCCGCTGGCATCTCCGCCATCCCGAGCGTCGTTAACGCTGTCGTCATCACCTCGGCCTGGTCCGCTTCCAACCAGAGCCTGCTCTCTGGCACTCGAGTGCTCTACAGTCTGGCGCTCAAGGGCCAGGCTCCCAAGATCTTCCTCCGCACCACGTCTTGGGGCACCCCTTACGTCTGTGTTCTGCTGTTCACGGCCTTCATGTTCCTGAGCTTCATGAGTCTGTCCAACGGTGCCATGACCGTATTCTGGTGGTTCGTCTCTTTGACGTCTGCTGGTACCCTGGTCTCATGGTCGAGCATCCTCATCAACCACATCCGCCTCAAGACTGCCATGCGCAAGCAGAGCATCCCCTTCTCGAAGCTGCCCTGGCACAACTCCTGGACCCGTAAGTTCGGCCTGATTCAATGTCGCTTCTGCCTGCTGATGTATTTTTGCAGTGTACAGCTCCTACTTCGGTCTTATCGCGTGTATCATCATCCTCCTTACCGGCGGTTTCGAGGTGTTCACCAAAGGCAACTGGGACACAGCCAGCTTCATCGCCTCTTACCTGTAAGTTTTTCAGCAACTAAAGTTGTCCGAGCCCACCGCTAATATCTGGCCAGTGACATCCCTCTTGTTGCAGGCGCTTTCCTGCTCTGGAAGTCCCTCAAGAAGACACGCTTCGTGTCTCTCAGCAGTCTTGACCTTGACCCCGCCTTCGAGCAGGTTGAAGCGATGCCGGCAGAGCCTGTTGTCAAGTCGAAGGGCCCCATCAGGATCGTCAGTTGGATTTGGGACTGAGATTCAGTCGCTGTATAATTTCGTGTAAGAGCAGTGGAGCATGATTTTCTGCTCCATGGTAGATATCAGGGGTAGGGAAGTGGATAGCCCAGTGCCGGCTCATAGTAATAGACCGCCCAACCCCTTGGCCACGGTTGTAATGATATGAGCACTGCATGCACTCAATGATTGTCGGTGCATTCTGGTCTAATGACAAAACACTTGATGTATACGAGCCCCGTGCGTCGCGGCCATCCTCATGCCTCGCCACCTGTAGCGATGGCGCTGTCGTGCCTCTGCTTTGGTTTCGTGGCGGTGAGAATCTTGCAGGGGAACAATCCATACATCATCCGCACACCCGCCCCAAATATCTTGATATCCTCAAACCCAAGCTCCTCGAAAAGCCCCTCATACTCCTTGAAGTACCAGAAGAGATCCACCATTATGATCCTTCCTCCCGGCGCGCAGACACGCCCCATCTCCCGCACTGAGTTCTCCCTCCCCAGTCTTTCCACATTGTGAACAGCCAGGCTCGTGGTGATCAATGAGAATATGCCGTCCGCAAATGGAAGCCTCTCAGTAAAGCTCTTCTCGTGGAGGACAACGTAGTCGAGGACCTTTTCCGCGGCCATGTTCCTGAAGGTTGCCGTGGGCGAGTTGCTTGTTTGGTCGCTCGAGTCGAATATG